TGTTAACATGGAGACACCTGCAGTAATGATAAATTATATTGATCCATGTGTTGGGACCATTTCTGTTTAACATCTTTACTGATGATCTCGATAAGGACACAGAGTGCATTATCAGTGAGTTTGCAGGTGCCATCAAGCTGGGCAGGAGTGTTGCTCTGCGTGAGGATGGGGAAGCTCTACAGAGAGACTTGGATAGATTAGATCCTTGGGCTGATGTCAATGGTCTGGGCTTCAACAAGGCCACTTGCTGGGTTTAAGCACAGAAGTAGCTCTGGATTTCAGCTGGGCACTAACATCTTTTTTGAGCAATGCAAGGTCCTGGGGGTTCTCATTGACAAGAGGCTGAATATGAGCCAGTGTGTGTCCAGGTGGCCAAGAAAGCCCATGGCATCCTGGCTTGTCTTAGAAGTGGTGTGACCAGCAGAGTGGAGAGGCCATTGTCACCCTGTGCTCAGCATTGGTGAGGCCAGACCTGGAGTTTTGTGTTCAGTTTTGGGCACCTCAGTTCAAGAGAGATCTCAAAGTGCTGGAGCCAGGACAGAGGAGGCAACGAAGGTGGTGAAGGGCCTGGAGAATCAATCCGATAAATAAGGCTTGAAGGAGCTGGGAATGTTTAGGTTGAGAAAGGGGAGGCTGAGGGGAGACCTCATCAGTCTCTGCAACTACCTGAGAGGTCATTGTAGAGAGGTTGGTGCTGTTCTCTTCTCCCAGGTGATTGGTGACAGAACCAGAGGGAAGGGCTTCAAGCTGCACCAGGGCAGGGTCAGACTGGACATTAGGAACAATTTTTTGACAGCAAGAGTGGTCAGACACTGGCACAGGCTGCCCAAGGAGGTGGTAGAGTCCTCATCCCTGGGTGTGCTTAAGGGTCGTTTGGATGTGGTGTTGGTGGATGTGGTTTAGGGGAGAACTTTGTAGAGCAGGGATGATGGTTGGACTCGGTGATCCCGAGGGGCTTTTCCAATCTGAACAGTTGTAGAATGTGTCCCATTTATGTTACATACACTGTATTACGAGACACTCTCGTGCACTGATGAAAAGAAAGCTGCTCCCCAGCCAGCAGCTGAAGGGATGATGGGCTTTTCCTCTTTTCCTCTCCCACCCCACAGCTCGGGTTCTTCAAGCGCGGGATGCGCCGGCGGGCGGAGCAGCGGGAACGGAGCGCCCAGGGGCTGCAGTGATGCTGCCGGGACCCCCACACCCCTCCCCGGGGACAGAGCCAAGGACCACCTGGATGCTGAGGGATTTGGGGATGCTGAGCTCCTGTTTGCACCAAAGCTTCAGCCCTTTGCATGAAATCACCTCAACGGGACTGAAAGAAAAGTGAAACCCCCCTACGTGCAGCGACAAAGACCCCCAACTCGGGGGGGAGGGGGGTTTGTGAGGAGGTGGGAGCAGAGGGGGGGAAAGGGAGGCACCAAATCAACCTGCCCTGTAACCCGGGGCAAACTGTGGGGCTGCCAAACGCTGTACAAAAGAAATAATAGCCTTGACACCTGAGGGTGGCTGAGCTGCTGCAGCCCCCGGGCCCTGCTGGCCCCGCTCCCAAACTGCCTCCATGTTCCTGACCCGCAGCCATCGGGCTGGAGACCTTCATTTGCTGCCTTCTTCATGCACTGACTACACCCCCGAGCAAGTCCAAGCACCTTAATGCCAATCTCCAGTGTCCAGCTGTACAGACTGAGTTTAAAACAAAAGAAAACAACATTCGCCTGTTTAAGAGGAGGAGAAAAAAAAAAAAATCAATTAAAAAACCCCCCAAAATTTAAAAAGTAACATAAGAAAAACTACAGTTTGAAGCTTTTCCTAAAACTTGAGCAGTTTTGAAGAGCTTGTGTCCAGCAAGGGCCCACTTGTGTGTCATATTTTGTACATAGTTGGTGTCACATGAAGCCAGACGGTCGGTGCTGTTTGACCAAAATCTTCCCCTTTTTTGCATAACAGAATTATTTATGCTAATATTAATTTTATGGATGAGAAGAAAGCATATGTCCTCTGGATGTGTAATGAAGTTTGTTGAATACTGTCCTAGTATTTTTTAAGGATTAAAAAATACAATCTTTAAAAAAATGAAAAAATAAGGGGGGTGGCCTCCTGTGTGTGCTCACTCACTGCTGCGGTGCAGGACGAGGGTGGGGAGGGATGGGGCTCAGAATTTTTCCCCTCCACTTATCTATATCTATCTATCTATCTATCTATCTATCTACTTATGTATCTGCCTATATATCTACCTCTCTATTTATCTCTCTACTTCTCTGTGTCTATCTATCTATCTATATCTATCTATCTATCTATCTATCTATCTATCTATCTATCTATCTATCTACTTATATATCTATGTATCTACCTCTCTATTTATCTCTCTACTTCTGTGTCTATCTATATCTATCTATTTATCATGTGTGTCTATTTATCTACCTATATATTTATCTATGTGTATATCTATCTGTATATTTTTCTTTCTTCTTTCTTTCTTTTCTTTCTTTCTTTCTTTCTTTCTTTCTTTCTTTCTTTCTTTCTTTCTTTCTTTCTTTCTTTCTTTCTTTCTTTCTTTCTTTCTTTCGTTCTTTCTCTTTCTTTCTTTCTTTCTTTCTTTCTTTCTTTCTTTCTTTCTTTCTTTCTTTCTTTCTTTCTTTCTTTCTTTCTTTCTTTCTTTCTTTCTTTTCTTTCTTTTTCTTTCTTTCTTTTTCTTCTTTCCTTTCTTTCTTCTTTCCTTTCTCTTTTTCTTTTTCTTTCTTTCTCTTCCTTTCTCTTCCTTTCTCTTCCTTTCTCGCTTTCTCTTTCTCTCTGCATGTGTCTATATCTATGTATATCTTTATCTACGTGTATATCTATCTGTCCATATATTTATCTCTATATATCTTTCTCTCTCTATGTGTACACCTATCTGTCAATCTGTATATGAATCTATCTGTATATCTATCTCTCTCTCTACCTACATATCTATCTGTATATCTCTATCTATCTGTCTGTGTGCATCTATGTGTATATTTATCTATTTATCCATGTGTACATCTATCTATCTATCTATCTATCTATCTATCTATCTATCTATCTATCTATCTTCCATCTACCTACCTACCCTACCTACCTACCTACCTACCTACCTACCTACCTACCTACTATGACTTAAACATTTGTTTTGTGCACTTCCACCAGCCAGGCTAAAAACTGCCACTAAATTCTCAGCAAAGTACAAAACTGCAGCTGTCCTGATGGCTTCAGAGAGCTCCACCTCAGCAGGCAGGAGGAGGACATGGAAGGTGATGACTGAAAGCTGTGGTTTTCAAGCACAGCAGCCCAGCCCACCTGAGGTACCAGTGACACATTTTTCATTTTAGGAGCTACTTTCTAGGAGAGTCAAGTTTGCAGCCTAGAAGACACAAGATTCCTAAAGCTTTTCCCTTGAAGGAGCCACAACATCCAGTTATGGCACCAGGCAAATCTAAGCCACACTCATCTTCTCAGCACTAGACAGAAATCAAGATTTCAGAGCTAATTCCACATTCAATGTTTATTTATTTGTAATACAAATAGAAACGTGTGCCCAAATCTCACCTTAAAGTTCTACCCAGATTGTTAAAAAAACAACAAAACAACAACAAACAAAACCCTAGAACATTCTTTCATCCTCTGACAGTTAAAAAGCTGCATTTAAAATAAAAGAGTTTTCAGTAGCCTGTCAAAACAAGTGACATTTTACTGTCGGAGTATCTGCAACTTCTACCAAGGAGAAGCACTTTCTCAAGCAACAGGGTCATTATACAATCAGTTGCTTATCATAAAAGATCTTATGATAGGATTAATTTTTTAAAAATCAGTTTTCATAGAGATTTTCCATAACGAAAGGAGTAAAAATCATGAGGAAAAAAATAAAAATAAAAATAATAATCCTCAAGTCCAATTCAGGGAGGCACAGACTCCACCCTTCTTGGAGAAGCCAGTTTCAAGCAGGGTCCTGCTCCAGAGGAAGACTCTCTCTTTGGCTCCAGACCACTCCGTTAGGAAGATACAGCATTTGGGATCCAAGAGTGCAGTTTGACAAACTTTGAGTCAAAAAAAGGTGCGTGTTGATCGTTGAAACAACAACAGAAAACAACCAGTGATAAAGCATTTTGAAATGTTGGGACACACACAAACACAAATACCCTACCCATTTTCTAGGTATCCATGCATGATTTTCTAGATGAGCAACTTAGCTACATGAAAAGAAACCATGACTCTGGTTCATTTCGGTCAATGTGCAAGTTCTTTTTTCCAGAGTTATTCATTACTTACTGTAGTAGCATAAATGAAGAGCTTGATACTTCAGCTGTTACTAGATGAACATACCATGGCTGAATTTAAACCTGTATTTCCTAACAGAGCATTCCATACGTCTGTAGCTGTTGATAACTGCTGTTCAAAATTTAATTTAAAAAAAAAATCATCATCATCATTAAAATGTTACCAACATCTTCAGCATTAACTGAAAGGCAGAAAAAGATGGTGAGGTAAGAGAGCAACGGGCTGCTCTGCAGGTCCAGACTTCACTTTTAACCAACTACCACGTAATTTCCAACTGGTTTTTTCCCACCTCACTCCAAGAAATTGTAGAATTTGCAAAGCTAAGAGGGTTGAGAGGGGCTTTCAGAGGTGCCTTTGGAAATGGCTTCCTAAAGGCTGCAAATCCAAAGTGGAGATGTGCATTGGTACCAAAACATTCTGCACAAGTTACAGTGGGATTCGTTTTGCTTATAAAAACAAACAAACACCAAACCAAGAGATAATGAAGCGATTCTTTCAACTAAAAGAAATGACCAACATCTCAAACATCAGGTTTGACTACAGGAAAATGATGTGGCTTTTTCCACGCCCCCCCCCACCCCAAGATCTGAGGCTGCAGCTCCAAATCCAGAGGAGCCCAAAACCAAAAGACTAGAGAGAAACAGCAGCTGTACTCTGCTGTCTGCAGTCAAGGTCATCCCAGGTAGCACCACCACAAAGGATTTTTACGTAGCCTAGTGGAACTTGACAAAGTCTTCCAGAGTTCTAGGGATCTGGTTTTGGTAGCTGATGTTATAGATCCGTACTGCTCGGGCAGCCAGGCACTTGAGACTCAGCTTCATTTGAGTTTTAAGGAGTATTTCAGACACCCCTGTGGTACTTTTATCAAGAGGGGTCTTCTTCTGCTTGTTCGTCATGTCTGTGTGAGCACCAGCCTCCACCAGGCTAATGATGATGGAATGCAACGTCAAGAAGTCACTGATGGGCCTGTGGTATTGGACAATGATGTGGAGAGGACTGTTTCCTTCGTTGTCCACGGCGTTCACATCAGCACCACAATCCAGCAGGAGCTTTGTCACCAGGGCGTTGGGGAAGCTGCAGACGTCGTTGGTGTGGAAGTCGTCGACGGGGGTGCTGGAATTGACGGCGTGGTGGAGCAGGCTGGAGCCATCCCGGGTCCTGGGGTCCAGGTGGATCAGGTTGTAAATCTGCTTGTTGATTCGCGACTGATCCTCTTCGCTGCACTGGGTCTTGGTAGAGATGCAGACCAAGTAGAGAAAGGTGAAAATGTTGCACTCGTAGTTGTCCATGGCGGTGTGGATGTCGGAGTCCTGGGTGGTTTTGATGCGGGACATGCCTTGTTCTATCTCCAAGACGCTGCACCTCAGGACGCTCTCGATGTCCTTGGCCTTCACGGGCTCGTTTAAGTGGATCATCTGAGAAAAGACCTGGGCAAACCTCAGGAGGTCCTTATGAGTGTTCCTGTTGCCCTTCTGCCTCAGGTGCAGGGCGTGGAGCCACAGCTTGATGCACTGCTCAAACTCCATGTTATCTGCATAAACAGCCCCCCGGTAAATAATGGGGTGAGACACATCGATGTTGTCCGAGCCCAGAATCCTCTCCCGCACGATGAGGCCTTCCATGTGAAGGGCATCTCTGTCCTGCCTGATGGACTCTAATTCCTGAGGAGTCCTGCATTCAGTCCTGTTCCCATAAGCTTCAATTTGTGGAAGAACTTCCTTTTCAATGATATTCTGGCTGTCCCGGTACCTCTCCAGCATGGCTAAATATAAATAGTGGTAGGTCTTCATGATATCGTAGTTCTCCCTGTCATTTGCAAACGAGGCACCCAGCAGTTCCAGAGCCTCGATGCGGCTCCTCCGGTCGCAGTCGGCATGAGCCAGCAGCAGCTCCACGACATCAGCCTTGCAGCTCTCAGCTGCCACCTTCAGCGGAGTCATCCCGTGGCCGTTGACCATCATGGCTGCCTTCCACTTGACCAGCTCCCTCACGATCTCCAGGTGACCCGCCTCGGCCGCGAAGTGCAGGGCGGTGGCCCCGCAGTGGGCCTTGGCGTTGGGGTCAGCATGCTGCTCCAGCAGGTACCTCACCACGTCCGTGTGGCCCTTGTAGGCCGCGATCATCAGGCACGTGTTGTCGTACTTGTTGGCGATGCTGATGTTGGCGTTGTTCTCCACCAGGTACTTGACGATGTCCAGGCGGCCATCGAAGCAGGCGGCCCGCAGCGGGGTGGAGTTGGTCACCGTGGTGTGGTTGACGTTGGCGCCGTGACTCACCAGCAGCTTGACCACCTCAAAGTGCCCGGCCCCCGCTGCGCACCACAGCGCCGTGGCGCCGTCGATCACGAAGCTGCGAGAGGCAGAAACGACAAGTTCAGCTCCCACAGCACAGGCACCCACACGCCCACCCGCAGGGCTTTTATGGCCATCCTTTTGTTTTTTGCACTCGGAGGACCTCGCTGGGGTAGCCCAGGTAAAAGAAGGAGAGACTCACCGAGCACACAGGGCTCCCGAGGAAAGAAGCACTGGAGGCTGAAACTTCCCAGCAGCCAAGGGATTTAGACACATTTTGCACTTCCCAGGGCTGCTGTGAAGATCCCACCTGCAAGCTCCAACCCTCGGAGGTCTCAGGAAGCAAGAGTTACAAAAATTCCTGCTCCTGGGATGCCTCGTGCCAGAAACCGACACGTGAAAGAAAGACAGAAAATTTAACATTTTGCACCCCGACACCAAAGCCCAAAGTCAGACACGA